CAGATGTTGTACAACTTTTAACTCAAACTTCAGATTAAATTTATCTCACAAACAGATACACAGTTACATATACATACATACATACAGTCATATAGACAACAAAAATACGAGGCCCTTATTTTTTATTGATGTACTGAACTCTACTTACCAGGTATAATTTATTAGTTATTAAACTATTGTAAAAACATAAACACCAGTCACTATATTTTAAAATAAACCAAAGCAAGAAATCACTTTCGTGGCCTAAAATCACCTTCGTGTATAAAACACCACGAAGGTGATGCCACGAAGGTGACGAAAATTTTAGATTTTTATGAATTATCCTTAAATTTGAATTTAACGGTTCAAGTCGAATACTACACAAATAAGTCTTAAGTTCTCAATGGCCTAAATTCAATTAAATTGTTTAAATTTTAGAGGTAGAAAATATTGTTCAAGCAAGTGACGGTATGTCGATGGATAATCACAAAAAGTTATGTTTTTTTTTCGCGGAGCGACGATCGACCTATCTCACCTCCCCAATGGCCGGAGCGCGACTGACGTTAACCAAATAGAATGATGTGATTGGTTACTGGTGTTCGGTTTAACGGCAATCTTGTATTATTACTCAAAATTTTAGGTACCTAAAATCGTGTGACCAACGTATTTCGCTTTCTCAATTCGAAATAAATATAAGAAGATATTTTTTTGACTATTGTGTGGAAAGTATATTTAATTACGATGATTTTAGTATATGCTACACACAAATTGAATGAAAATTGTGAATGCAGTAACCAATTGTTTCATTGCAACCGAAGGTGTGACACGATGAGAACGCTAAAAATGACCCCGTTTTTTATCGTTTCATGTGATGTTTTCGTATTATTTTTGCTTCTATTACGATAAAATTTATTTTGTATTTAGCTAAATAGATATTTTATCATCTGATTTCAAAGTTATTGTTGTAACTTATACCGTTTATGAACTATTATTGTGTGACCATCAAATTTGAGTGTAAATGAGAAGTACCCTCCTACCTTTTCCTTCTCCACCCCATCACAACGTTTTTCCCATGTCCACATGGACATCGTAGGGCCCCTAACTATTTCATCTGGTTTCAGATACTGCCTCACGGTCATCGATCGCTTTACGCGTTGGCCTGAGGCATTTCCATTGCCAGACATCACCGCTGAGTCATGCGCTCGCACCTTCATCGCCGGCTGGGTAGCTCGCTTCGGTTGCCCACATAAGATCACCACAGACAGGGGGAGACAATTTGAGTCAGAGCTCTTCCGCAACATCGCAAAAATACTAGGCGCTGAACATCGACCAACAACCGCCTATCATCCAAGCTGTAATGGAATGGTCGAACGTCTCCACCGGCAGCTAAAGGCAGCTATCATGTGTCACAACAACATTAGCTGGTCAGAAATACTACCACTGGTACTTTTGGGCATTCGCAGCGCGTGGAAAGAAGACTTGAAATCTTCAGCAGCAGAGCTAGTATATGGTGAACCATTGCGCTTACCTGGTGAGTTCTTCAATCCTACCAACGATGCCCAGGTCGACTACAGTGACTTCGCAGCACGCCTTCGCCGACACATGATGAGTCTCAAACCAGAACCTGCAAATTGGCACACAAACAAAACCTTCTACGTACCTAAGGACCTTACAGACACAGATTACGTCTTTCTACGACTGGGACCAGCCAAGAGGTCACTTCAGCCACCATACACTTGTCCGTACAAAGTCTTAGAACGAGGAAGCAAGACTTTCAAGCTCGAAGTACAAGGTGAGCAGAAAACTGTATCCATAGACAGGTTAAAACCAGCATACATCACTAGCGACAAGGAAACCTAGACCGGTAACAATCAGACTCCTACCCCTGAAAAGAGAACGAGAAGTGGACGCTTGGTACGCTTTACAAATCACTATCGACCTTAGCAAGCAACGGTCTCGGCGGGGGAGTGATGTAGTAACCACATGAAAACATAGCTCACTTTTCTGCAGTCGGTTAAAATCCGAACTTCAAACCTCGACTGTATGCGTTGCCCGTTGTACACAATGGAATGCGCTCGGCCGCGCGCCGGGAGCCCGCCGCGTCTGCGCATCGGCAAAATCAGTGCGAAGCTAGTTGCGACGGCGAATGCACGCTCGATTCCTCTCAGCGCTTAACTCGATACACCCGCGATCTTTTATTATTGTAATAATTTCGGATGTATTTCAAATACCGCGATTACCTATCACGGCCAATATCAGTGACTTTATAGTGTGTCTATTTAGTATAAACAAACATTGTAGATAGTAGGGAATTTAGTGCAATGATTTGTATGGAGACCCCTCCACTTTGGTATAGAAGGGTCATTTTTGCACCAGTTGTTCTTTGGGTGCTCCTGAGTAGATTTCCGTCGGTAGACATCGGGAGCCCCCCCTGTGGTAGCGGGGGGAGGGGGGGCAAGTTTCCTTCTGCCGCGCTTCACTTTAAGGCCCATATCTTCAAAACTATGGGTATTAGGTAGTGCCCACCGACCTAGGCAGTTTTGTATCAGTATATCAAGGGCAGTAATTATGTCCTTATGATTTTTTCAAATTATTTAAAATTAAGTTGGTTAAAGGGGTTCGCGTATAGGGTCAGTTGCAAGCAACCGACTCAGTCTTCCCTTTACCCGACTGGTTGGGGGTGGACCAGAATCGATAGCAACATGGAGCCTACATGGACCAATTGCCCGTAGCTGCCGAAGCTTGCCTGGAAAGAAGTAGTGCAGAAGCTGGTGCTGTCTGAAAAAACAACTATAATGGTCACAGCCGTAGCCTTTGTGTTAAAAATAATCTCCCGTACTATGATAATATCAATCCTCACTTTCCTCACACTTACCTTTCCGTTATTACTGGTACAATTATTATTATTTATTATTATTATAGCTTTATAAATCCATAGTTGTTACAGTTCTATTTAAAATTAATTAAGTATTTCTCTTGATTGTGGCCCCACTTGGGTAAAAGCCTCCTCCATCATTTTGATGGAGGGTGGTGGTCTACTTCCCCCGCGGTGACCAGTCGTATTGGGAGAGAGTTTTTGTTGTGTAAGATGTTGTTGTCGTTTACTGTAGTTAAATTTTCGTTTCCGGTGTGATGAGTTGCATTGGTTGTATTAGTCCCTGGTTTCGTTTGAGGCGGAGTTCGGTCTAGCTTGAAATGTATCGAATCTCTTGTTAAGTTTTTTTGGAGGGGCAGCTGTTATATTTTTAGTGTCTTTCTGATTTTCTTTTGGTGACTTAAGAACAAGAAGAAAGGCAAGGGAAGATAGCGTTTATAAGATACGACAAACTTATAGTCAAGCATAGGGATGTGGATGAAGCTAAAAGGAAAAGATCACTGGTACAATAGTATGTAGAAATAAAAATGTTAATTAAAATAATAATAATAATCATAAGACGTTTAGACAAATTCAAGTTCTTTATTTAGTGCTTTCTTCTTATGATATTTTCATTAATACAATGTAATTAAACTATTTTGAACCTTATATCTTACACATAGAGTTCAAAATTAATTGAAGAAAAAATACAAATTATGGTAGCATGATGTGCCAGGAACTCTAAATAAATTCTAAAATAATAATCTTTACTTGCTTATGAACCAAATAGTATGAATTCATGGATAAAATAAATATTTTTTTCCGATGCGCATTAAAATTCGCCCGCTGTGTCCTGAAGAAACATTTTTTTTCACCTACTTTTTTCAAAAAAAAAGTACCATACAATGGTACATATTTATAATTCTGACAAATGTAGCTTTCAGGACATATATTTTTTATTANCCCCAGATGCCGTTCTTGCTGCGGAGCGACCTCAAGACGTCAGCGAGCTCAGAGCTTTTCTAGGTCTCATCAACTATTATTCAAAATTCGTAAGAAATTTCAGCACTGTGGTCGCACCCTTATACTCCTTATTAAAAAAACATAAAACATGGGAGTGGTCCACCGAATGTGAAATGGCTTTTGTCAAAATCAAGGAGCTCTTGAAGAACTCCGAGATCTTAATGCATTTTGACCCCGACCTCCCGTTGGTGTTGTCGTGCGACGCGTCGCCGCGCGGCGTAGGCGCGTGGCTGGGCCACGAGCTGCCCGACGGCCGCGTGCGCGCCGTGGCCCACGCCAGCCGCACGCTGTCTTCGGCAGAACAGAACTATAGTCAAACTAGCTTTCCGCCCGCGGCTTCGCCCGCGTGGAATTTTGTCTGTCATAGAAAAACTTTATCGCGCGCGTCCCTGTTTCAAAAACCGGGATAAAAACTATCCTATGTTCTTTCCCGGGACTCAAACTATCTCTATGCCAAATTTCATCAAAATCGGTTGCGAGGTTTAAGCGGGAAAGCGTAACAGACAGACAGACAGACAGACAGACAGACAGACAGACAGACAGACAGAATATTTCCATAAAAGACAATACATAACCAAACGATGCTGCGTGTAATGGATAAAAGACGTAAAGTTATCATTTGTGTAAATGAAAACATACTTTTTTTGGTAAATGTTGCCATTATGTAAACATTTGAGAGCTGCTTAGCTGATCACGGCTTCAAATCCGTTGAGTAGCGTTTGAGAATACCATTTAAAATTGAAGGATACTTAAATTTAGGAGCCCGTCAGCTGAGTGACAGATTTGAGTAGTGTTTCAGTATTCGGCCGTTACAGAGTTAAACCAAAGAGTTAAACTGAAACTAGGGTCACTCACATTTACACTCAAACACATCTTTTTTCCTCAAGAAAAATGTTTATGAAAGAAAACCGTGACTTTTTAGGAAATAACTGAACTGAAGATGCTATTTGGCTTGCTTGCGATGTTTTAGTATTGGATTAGTATAGCATTAAATAAAACTATTCACTATTATTTAAACGATATATTTAAAACTATATAAAATAAGATTACAAAGTAATAAGTCCTTACCAAAATAAAATTATACAAAACTAAGTAAACGATAAAAGTATTCTAAACTGCTACATTGCTAAAATTGTTAAATTGATTAAGTTGTCACAATTTGTAAGCTGTAATTTCTGTTTTCTGATTTCAGTTTAGATAACAGAGCAATCAAATCTAACCCTTGTATTTGAATTACTGTTTTAGTTGTAGTTGAAGGCATTTTATTTGTATTCTCAGATTCATAAGTAGCAGTTTCTGTAACATCAACCGCCATTTCGTTTGTTGTCTCAGTATTGACTTCGACAGTCGAATTAGTTTCTGTTTGTGTTTCTTTAGACGTTTCATTGGCTATGTGGTCAAATTCAGGTGGTTTGTAGTCAATCAGTGGTTCGCTGGTGTCAGGATCACGCAACGCGTAGCGGCGAGTGGTGAGCCGTCTCCAAGGCGGAGTGCGGTGCATCGTCGTTGCCTCCTTCACTTTGTAACGGTAGTAGCCGGGAACTACGAATTTTCATACAAAACTGTATTAGATAGTATGAAACAAAAGTTGTCAAGCAAAACATCTTAAAAAGGAGGCACTAAAATTGTCTTGAGGAAACTATATGACTTTTAAACAACCTGATTCTCGGTTATAAAAGATGGTGTTATTAATTATGACGACATTTTACAGTCACCAACGAAAACAGTAACGACAATTTATTAATAGGTACGAAAGCGCAGTAAAAGTTACTTAACTTCAAATGATTTAAAAATGTCTGATACAAAAGGAAATAATATTTACTGTATCTGTGTTTTGTCTTGATTTCAACAAAGCAGTAGTTGTATCCAAGGCCAACGCCCAAGCCCAGCATCATAACTAAAGTGACCACCAGACAAGACACAACTGTGACTGCTGCCAGACACATTGTGAACCTGGAATTTTAAAGTATAATATTTTGTTGGTTAATAAAAACAAAAGAGATTGGTAGAACATTTTATCAATACAAAGATAGCAAAGGACAAGAATAAGTAAGATAATGTCATTTCATTACCGAATAATTTATTCGAGATTTGGACTCATTAAGAGGCCTAAATCCCGTCGGGGGGACGCTCAATGATGAGGGTAGCGCAAAATTTACAAATCCTGGTAGTTTTACTTACTTTTCGGAGAGGTACATTATATTCGAGAGAACACTTAATATAATCCCCATTTTTGTAGTTATGTAAGCAGTCTAGAGTCCAAGAATATCAGATGTGTTTTACACAAAGCAGTTAGAGGTATTTTGTGTAATTGAAAATAAACAGCGATCTTTTTTTGACAAATCAGTTCTTGAGTACAGTGACAATCAATTATTGTCAAACTAGTTATAAAAACTGACACAAAAAGTAGAGCAACTGAAAAGTTTTCATTCTCTAGTACTTGTTTTTGCCCGTTGGTTTGCCCGCGTGAAATTGTTTGAGATCGCGATCGATCATTATAAATTACAGACTATTGTTTTTCTGTTGTATTAACTTTAATTAATATTTTATTTTTATCAGAATCCGTTTGAAAGTTTTACATTAATTCATATAAACTTTCGCGTTATTAATAAAGTAGGATAGCAGAATTTCCATAACTTTAGATATCTTAATGATGAAAAAGGGTCCAGGACAATTAATATTCCAAGGAATAAAATAATTATCTGAATGCAAGAAGGGTAATTAAATAAAAACACTTTTTATGTGTTTTATTTATTACTCAAACTGTTATGAACTGCAAAGTAACGTTTTTGTTTTGTGCTAAAATCTTGGATATCAATGGAGACATGTTTGCATGTTTCTTCAACGGTACTACAATCGTGGGCATCCATTTTGTGGTTTCTGTAAGTTTTTTATGTTTTTTCCTGTATAGTATCTTCAGTTTTGGAGTAGTACTATACTTCACTTCTTTGTATACTTCATCATATTCCGCTTCATCGTTGTGCTCTGAAATTGATGATAAATGTAACTTAAAATACAAGAACGAAATCATAACAAAAACGGATCCTGATTTTGGTAAAATTTCACATCCTGAAATAGTTCCTGATAGCCTATTATGAACTTATCTGTAAGATAATCCAAAATATTGGATGAAGTCTCGGATAGAGATTTGGTATTTTATATATTTGGTATATTTGGTAAATTATGTATAAATATCTCAATGATGATTACCGATCATCAATCAGCAACTTCATTTGTTAGATAGCTATAAAATTACCACGAGTCAGTAGAACTCGCCCCTCATAATATGAAAAATAACCCCTTCTATTAAAAATAAAAATAGGTATAGAACTATGATGGTATCTACCTTTTTCAAAAGCTGTTTTTTTCCCATGTTTCATTCCACGAAGATCTTTATCCATGTCTTCTGCATTGGCTTTTATCCCTTCTCTTATTTTATCAAAGTCCTCATTTCTTTCATCTTCAAATAATTTGGATTTCGGACGTTTTGTTTTGCCAACCTGACGTTGTCCAGATTCCACTGGCTTGACTCTACTGTGAATGACTGGGATTCTACGAAGAGATCCAGGGAAATTGGGTGAATGGGGTATGTCAGAAACTAACTCTGGGATAATATTTAAACTAGGGATGTTAGGAAAGGAGGGGATCTCTTGATCATCTGATAATTCCGCCAAATCACTACCAACTGTATTTGAAAGTACTTTTTGGTCTGTGTCGTCTAAAAATTTATTGCCACTGCGTGTAGCACTTCCATTCAAAGCATTAGAAGTTAGTTCTGTACTAGGAGTTAGTCCATTACTTGAGGATTCCATGCTCATTTCTGTCGTTGAAAGCTCTGTAGTTGTTGTGGTAGTAGAAGGAGGATGGGTTATAAGGGTATCAGTATTAAGAGTAGTTTCAGTCGTTTTTTCATCCCCAGACAAAGCAATAGCACCTGGGCGACCCTCGGTTTTTTGGTATTTGTTGACCGCATCAAGCCTCGTGTGCTTCATATCGACAAAACAATAATTATAGCCAATACCCACTCCCAGACCTATACTGACCAATACAGTGACCACGATGCATGATATAATAGCAGACATAGCACAAAATGCTGCTATCCTGAAATAGTATGAAACATTATGTAACTATCAGTACATAGGTACCTACTTTAGATTCATTATATTGGTACGAACGATACCCACTTCTCCAATATGTACATAAGATGCCCGAATACAAAGCCATTCCCGCAACAACCGCAAGGCATTTTCAAACTTTAATTATATTCAACAGAACAATAAAAATAAATAAAGAATATATCAGAAAACAGGTAAATATTAAGAAAAATATGTACAAAATAAAGTATCAAAATCTGAAATCAAACAAACACCTGCATGATGTTGTCAGATGTTATTTGTCAATGTTACAGTCCAAAATAGTTGAGATTTTGAGCACCGAAAATTATTTTTACATCGAGCAGAAACAAAGGGAGATGCTTATGAGATGTATAAAGTTATTGCATTCTTGCATACGTGAGTAGTACAGACGGTAGAGCTAACTCTCTCATTTTCTTGGTCCATTTTAGTAATACAAATGTGTTTTCTTTACTGAGAATCGTAGCTAAGAATGGCAATGGTGATAATTATCCTCTGACTCTGGTTGATTTTAATAAAAACTTTGCAACCAATTTACTTCATTAGTCGACCACGTCATTTTGTCACTCGTTTGTGTTGAGTTGGTGTTGATTTGTCAATTCATGTCAATTCTCAGTATTCTTTTCTAAATAATCTCGATTAGGGTCAAATATTTTATTATTATTATTTGATAATACACAACGCACCATTTTCTAAAATAATGACGGGTTACACACTTTTGAAAATGGAGAAAATTTCTGATGTTCTCAAAAGGTAATTAAAAGTAACAGAGCTTTTAGAAGCAGTTCATTTAATTTCTTAGTGCTCAAACATTGTACTCGTATACGCCCTCATAAAAGTAGCAGGAAGGCGCTGGATGCAGGCCGCTATACTAACCGGGCAATGTGGAAACATTGTAGGAGGCTTACTCGTATATTCAGCAGTGGACATCCTGTAGCTGTAATGATGATGATTGCGATAATTTGAAAATTTTCCAGGAAGCCTCGGCTTTCAACCTGCATTTCGTTCACGCTTGGCATGTTGGCTGTGACCATGTCGGCCATAGCTATGGGCGTCTTCATCGGGTACACGTACTGCTACCTCGAGCATCACTCTGGGTTTAAACCAGTTAAAGGTATCATGATGTGCATTCTTCTTAGAATATACTCTTTTGTTGAAAAATAGCCCCGCGAATTAGCCGCCTAAGCCACGCGGCCAGGTCATTACGGCCAACTTTTTCTTCTGTGTTAAAAACATCTATACTAATATTATAAATCTGAAGAGTTTGTTTGTTAGAACGCACTAATCTCAGGACTACTGGTCCGATTTGAAAAAATATTTTAGTATTGGATAGCCCATTTATCGAGGAAGGATTTAGCCTATATCATAAGATCACCTAGCTAATAGGATCGGAGCAGTAAAGAAAAATATTGCAAAAACGGGAAACATTGAACTATTCCCACGCGTACGAAGTCGCGGGCACAGCTAGTCTATAATATAAAAATGAATCGCAAAATGTGTTGGTAAGCGCATAACTCAACAACGCCTGGACCAACTTTACCAATTATTTTTTTAAAATGTTTGTTGAAGTCCAAGGATGGTTTTTACGGCGATAAAAGTTCGAATAATTACCGGGAAACCTCTAAAAAATCTCAAAACTTCACCCCTAAGGGGGTAAAACGGGGTTCACGCGAACGAAGTCGCGGGCGGCCGCTAGTTTCATATAATTTCGTTAGCTGCAGTGGCCTGGCCGCTTAATACGCGGGGGCATTTATGACCCTTAAGATACCTCCCTATCTACCCAGAAGTTTGTAATTGCGTAGGTGCGCCACTTTATACTGACTGAAAGACAAAAATAAACTTCTTGGAACAGCTGATCAAATTCCTTGCGAACCCTAATTCCCAATACCTTAATTTCCCTCAGGAGTACCTTACCTTTACCTTTTCCGTTTGGATTTAATGGCGGTCAAACTAATAAATAAAACTAAAGTTAAGAAATAATAAAACCAATTCGTAGCTATGTAGTCGTTTCAAAATTGTGTCGCAGCATCAGATATTGCGATCGTTAATGAGGCCAGATAAGATTTCATTACAATATTAATAAGTTTACGTTACGTAGTAGGGGAGACCGAGGAGAGTTGTGAAATTATCAAACCTATTAACTATCAGCTCGCAACAGAGCGTATTTGTTAGATCGAGACTTGAACTCAAAACTCGCACTGTTAAGAGCTCGCTATAAATCGACAATGTCACAACTCTCCTCGATCTCCCCTACCTACATATTTCTTTACTAGCCAATAATGGGTTAGGTATTAACTGGCCCATCGGAAATCTGGTCCGAGGTACCTACTAAACTACAAAGTACCTATCTACAGAAAGAGTGTCAACACCTGGATTTTGAAGGCTAACCAGCTGTTAATTTTATATCACCCTCCAGGAAACTTTACCCAATCATCGGACTACCACATCCTGCATATGCCATACCCAGAGTGTCACGAGGTGAAAAAGAACAGGACCATCAACGGGGCTCTGCTGTCCAGTGTCCTCGTGTCCAGGATCCTGCGGCTGGGACAAGCATTGGTGCAGGATGACCAGCACGGAAACATGATGTTGCATTTCACTTGAAATAAATGATACATTTGCGACCTTGAATTTCTTTTTCTTCCTTTCAAACCATCAATCATCATCATCATTTCAGCCATAGGACGTCCACTGCTGAAAATAGGCCTCCCCCAATGACTTCCATGATGACCGGTTGGCAGCGGGTTGCATCCAGCGCCTTCCTGCTACCTTCATGAGATCTAATCAGAAATGAGGAGATCAGTAAATGAACCAAAGTCGCAGACATATCCCGACGGATTAGCACGACAAGCTAAAGTGGCAATGGACAGGGCCACATACATAGTACGCAGAACTGACGGCCGATGGGGCACCAAAGCTCTGGAATGAGACTATCATAAACCTTCAATAGTCCATAGAATTTTAAAATTTGTCCTCACCGGCATCACCTCTTGTCTAGGGGAAAAATTATAACCTTCCTAAAATTATGGCTTTCCTACTATTTTGAAACTCTTAAGCAAATAATTAGCAGCGTTAATCACTAACATGTTTCTTTTAAACGCGTAGAATACAGCACAAATCATTCCACAGAAATTCATAGCAAATGAACGTGTTGGTATTAATTAAAAAACACACTGGGTATTCCCCCAATACATCAAATACAAGCAATAATCGTTGAAAGCTCCTGAGTCATATCTAGTTTTAATTTGAGAAAATTGATTAAAGGCTGGACCGCTTCGACCAATTATTATTGGTTAAGCGACGACGAAGAATCGGGTATGTTTAATTGATTACGTAACTTCAAATTCCTACAGAATGTACTTCAAATTTTTTGTCAGCTTCCATAATACAGTGCCAGTACAGTGAGCTCTACTAGTAGGTACTTACTGCCTACTTTTCTTTTTACTCGACTGCGCCAGAAGGAGGGTTATTGCTTGCTTATCTTCGTTTGAAACTTAGGCAACAATTAAAGCGCAACATGTCACGATCATCATCATCATCATCATCACAGATGATGATGATGATGATACCACCAATATGATGACACCAATAGACTCCCTTTGGCAGACCAAAGGGAGTCTATTGGTGGACATAGCCTCCTACAAGAATGCGATCACTACTATAATAGTGCCACTAACAACCGAAGGGGGTTGTTAGTTTAAGGTCATCAATACATCTTGATGTATTAATACATATCCCTACTTGTAGGTGGGCATCCTACGCTACATTTACCATTACTCACAACATCGCTTTTACCTACTTACCCTAGGTATAACTACCTATCGTAGTCATATTTTCATTCAAATTCAAAGTATTTATTACATGTCATATGGATAAGGGTTCATATCATAATAGTATGTTACTCTTTCTAACAAAAACTACTGAACCAATTTTGCACATAAATAATCACTAAACGTCTCCAGAAAACTACTAATTTTAAGTAGCACAATTACTGTTATCAATTAATTCCAATTTATGAATTTTATTGATGCTAGTCATTGTTGGCCCAGCAACAAAAAGCACAGCCATAATGATTACCATCATCGGACCTTGAACTTGGTTTACGCGTATTGACTAAATACAGTCGTCGACAAAAGAATAACGCTAAAACTTCAGTTAAGTTTAATGAGCGTGGCCCACTGTGTTATAAATACTACTACTAAATGCCTACTTAACTTACTTATTTAATAGTCGGCAATGTATTAAGTAACTTGAACAAATAATTGTTCAAGTTACCCAGTGGATATAAATCCAACTATGGGAAAGTTAAATAAATAAAAATTAAAAATTCATTTAGTTCCAAAAATACTTGTATACAGAATTATTACCGAGTTTTCCCGGTAATTAGTCAGAGACACTTGTATTGGGAATAACTCGCTACTTGCCATTTGGATAGCTAATTAAGTAAAGTATTAGCTGAAACAATTATCCTTAATTTAAATTAAATAATAAGTATGATGATGATTTATCATATTGCATCTCTAGTTCACCATTATGCAATTTACCTAACTCTTTGTTTAAGACTACGAATTTTGTGATTAATTTATCTAAATTTTAATTTTAAAATGTCTGATAGGTATGACATTTTCACAAAAATTAAATTTGGATGTTAGTTAATATTGCCTTTTTAGTTCCACCATTAAATAAAAACTAAAGACTTATTTTAGCACTTTAGCCGATTATCACATTCTGAACTGTATTCGGAAACACATTCGGAAATTCTGTAACTGACTGTACGATTATACTATTGGCCATAAAAACTGGCCAAACCGGTATGTAGTTAATGTGTAACTTTAGGACACGTGAAGGATTTTTTAATATGATACTGTCACAGAGATTGTTGGAAAAAATCGAACAATGGTTGTATGTTCATCCTTAGCTAACTTACAAATTAAATTAAGAATTTGTAAGAGTGATGTAGAGGTACGCAACTGTGCTTTTTGAAATCATTGACATCCTGTAATTTTATCTCCTTATTCGTTTTTAAATAAGTATAAGCATCTAATCTTAGCTTCATCACATCATTATTCCTTGTTGTTCAATCAGGTGTGGGAACAATGGACCTCCTCCTAACCATAATGCAATGCGCAATGGCATAACAGCTAACGGTTACATACAGTCCATCTAGGTCCAAGTTTTGTGGTGTTTTTTCATCCGCAGCTCCGGAGGAGTTACAGGTGCGTTGCCGACCTTTAAATTATAAGTTCGCTCTCTGCTAGTGTGCTAGGTTAAGGCTAGGTTATGACTGGGTTATGGCTAGGTTATGGCTGGGTTTTGGCTGGGTTATGGCTGGGATATGGCAAGGTTATGGCTAGATTATGACTAGGTTTTGGCTAGGTGATAAGTCCCCATGACGTTGTTGTTGTTTAAAAACAGTTTTTGTTTGTTTTGTCTGGCGCAGTGTCTAACTAGACAGTTAATTGAAAAAGTAATCTTTTGATGTCCAATTCATACAGTGGTTGCAGAATTTCCTCGAATTGATAACAATGCCGCCGGCTTCTCACAATAACCCCGAACAATAGATGTGGTGAATCAAACGGGTTTAGCCAAGCGTGAACCAGCTAACTGACCCGTGGTTTTAATATAATTTAATTGAAACTTTTTAGATTTATTTTCCTCCTGTGTATTGTTTCCCTCTGATAGAGACAGACTGCCTGAGCCAGACTTGCAAGCATTTGAACATGAAATTTTCTTTTAAAAGTCGAATAACATTTACCTATACTATTAATTAATTAAAATACTTATATTATAAATTTTAAAGGACCATATTACACAGGAAAAGCTAGTTGCCTATGTTATTCTTATGCCATAATCTATCTGTATTAGTTTACGGAATCCTAAATCATAAACTTGCCATCGTTATTGTAAATAGGTCCACGTTACTTCCATAGAGTTAAATAAATATGCTTTATTGAACTAATCGTGGCTGTCAACATGAACATTAAATAAAATACTACTTTCTTCCCGTGGCTTCGACGATTCGGTTTGCCACAGAAAGTTTAGTCATCCTTAATCTTAACGACGGATTAGCAAGCTCAAGTGGCAATGGACAGGGCACATAGTACGCAGAACTGACGACAAGGTTTTGGAGTGGAGGCCGTTTATCGGAAAACGCAGCGTGGGACGTCCACCCACAAGGACATCGTAAAAGTACCAAGAAGGCGCTGGATGCAGGCCACTACCAACCGGGCAACATGGAACGCAATGGGTGAGGCTAGGGTTGCCAGGTCCAAAATCACAAAAGCCGGACTTTGTGCTTCATTTGGCCGGNGGCCACTACCAACCGGGCAACATGGAACGCAATGGGTGAGGCTAGGGTTGCCAGGTCCAAAATCACAAAAGCCGGACTTTGTGCTTCATTTGGCCGGACATTTTACCCTAAAAGCCGGACATGTGACGGGGGGGGGGGGGGCAATTAGTGTCAGTTCATGAGTGAGTACTATCATCATCGGTTACTATCCAGCATCCTGATCAGTGCGCTTCTGTGGCTCGACTTTCGCCTGGCGCGGCAACCAAATAAAAAGCCTAACAAAAGCCGGACAGGCTGGACAAGGCAATATTTGGCCGGACAAGTCTCTAAAAAGCCAAACATGTCCGGCTAAAGCCGGACGCCTGGCAACCCTAGGTGAGGCCTATGTACAGCAGTGGACCGGTGGACGTATTATGGCTGAGATGATGATGATGAGCCAGCAGCGTGGGGAGTGTAGGCCAACTCCTCCATTCGCTGGTAAATTAGAGATGGTCGTACTCCTGAGTGGAGACTAAGAACCTTATAATAATTTCTAAACAAAAACCATATTATTCTGTGAAATTCATTCACCATACAAACTTATTACAAAACACAACATGGAAACAAAAAGTTTATTTTGCATTTATAATTTAGTAATACTTAATGTGCTAGTAATGAGTAGGTTAGTTATGCTTCTTAGGAATCAATAATGGATTTGTCCCTGCAACAAGTAATGTTTTCAAGTTCATAGTACAACTAGTGACTAATGAGGAAACTAAGATGAAGATTGTGTTAGGTATTGAAGATAACGAGATAGTGTGATACATGCATGTTAATTTAAATTAAGTATTAGCATTAGAAATATTTGTTTAGTTACATTTTAATCCTTTGTAGCGATACGACATAATTTTACGCTCCATATTTGGATAAGTACTCCTTATCTGCAGAAAAATGAGATTAAAATTTTCATTTTTCCTTGTTTACTAATATGAGGTTATTTTATGTGCCTTGTTTGGAATTGTTTTAATGCAACAAAGTTTGAAGTGACTAGGACTTTGGGCCCAAGTTAAAGACATCACTCGAGTATTTTTTTCATTTTCATTAAATATTCAGTTAATTCTAATAATATTGGCACTGATCAAATCCGATTTCTGTGCTCGCAAGTGTACGTCCAAAATTACTATTAAACTTCAAATGGCTTCGAATTAGTGTTTATTAGAACATGAAGTTTAATCTAACAGAGTTGAGTTGATGAACCATCAAAATAGATTAATCAGAAGTTGGGCTCGTTTGGAACCAGTTGCTATCCCGTTACTCCTGCTGATCCCTAAAAGGATGTAGTAAAAAAGT